ACATCCGGCCCAGCTGCTTGAAGGCTTCGTTGATGTCCCGGACACGCAAGCGCTCCCGGGCATTGTTGGCCATCCGTCGCTCCCGCTCCCGCTCCAGCTTCTGCTCTGGGTTTAGTTCTTCATCTTCGTTCGTGCTGCTTTTGAAACAAAGACAGGAAAGGCATTGAGAGACAATTTTGTTCTTCCACATTCGCACAGATTATCGCCTTGCCTATAACCGGCTGGATTTTTTTGAAGCAGTAAACAATTTCATGCTTAGATATGCAGAAAAGCCACTGGGGGTGCATTTTCTGCAACAAACACTATGCTTTTAGTCTCCAAGGGGTTGCTGTGCCTGCTCTGCTTCTCACAAGAATGGGCACAAATTCACAGCCTGCCTGGCTATACAGGGGAGATACCTGGCCACTATCGTTCACTGATAATATGAATCTTTCTCTTGGCCCTTACTAGTTGTCAACCGTGTAAGCCAAACTTTTTAAGATTTAGCAATGTGCTGCTTTGTTTGGACAGCAAGTACAGCCAGGTAATCACACACAAGCCCTTCTGATCTGGATCAGATGGTCCAGGAGCTTTCAGAAGTGACAGTAGATTGGGCAATCCTCAGCTTACATCCATTCAATCAGCAATTGTTCAAAATTATGGTAGCACTAAAAAAATGGATGTACCACCAGCCCTTGAAGGTCTGGCCATCACAGACGTCCCATGATTGTGATCTGGGCCCTGAAGGGAGCTGCGGTCACACGATCGCTTCTCCCAAGCAAAGCAGGTAAGATCGCAAGTAGCTCTAGTCTCTTCTGCTTTTTCTCCCACCGTAGCAACCCACTGCATGCATACCTGCTCTCCCCTGACCTCCCCACACCAGCATCCCTTCCACCCCCATTGCTTGTTACTTGAGACTCCTGCCTCTACCCATTTAACAACTTGCATGTCTTGGGGTTACAACAGCCACCGGGATTGCTGTCACTAAGTGATGCTGCAGTCACGTGATGTCATGTTTTATGACCACCTCATAATTTAACAACAGCAATTCCAGTCCCTAATGTCATTGTAATCCAAGGACTACTTCCACTAAACTTAAGAAGGAAACCTGACCGTCATTCTATCCCAACAATCTGCTTAGATCCAGAAAATGGCCACTTTCCAGCCTGATGCCCAAACCTCAACCCCAAGGGTAACCCCCTCTACCTCTTCTGCTCATTCTGATCCAGACAGACCCCTTGATTTCTGGGATAGGAGGAAAGAAGCCAACATACCTCATCCTGCCTCTGGAGGAGGTTTTGATATCCTTCTGGGAGGACTCGTCATCAGATTTCATGTCATCAGAGGACGCGGGTTCCTGTGCATTGTCCTCCTTCTCCTTGTGCTCCAACTTGATCTGCAGCGGACCTAGGGCTACTGATGGGGTTGGCAGCCCAGCAGGCAGCCCTGCAAGGAAACCCAATAAAGAGCAACATGGCCTATTTTATTTATTGGTAAGATTTACATGGGTGCCCAGTCACTCTCCGTGACTCTGGGCCTCTTACAAACAATAAAAAACCCAAAATAAAAGGATAAAAAACCGTAACTCTCACCCACCCCTTTAGAAGAGAGAAGCTGTGACTGTCCTCTTAATGGATGGCAGGCAAAATCAAGAGCAAAGAGAAAGTGGCAGTTCCTATGAAATAGTTGGGCATATTTGAAGAGTTACAATTTGAAACTTGTTGCAGAAGTGGGTGCAAGCTTTCTGTAGAATGTCCAGATGAGTATGGTTTGATGAGAAACTTCTGGAATACCCTAGAGAGTTCTATATCTGAAGGGAAGGCTCTATCCACACTCAGTGCCAAGAGAGAGGCAGAGGCAGAGAGAGAGAGAGAGAGAGAGAGAGAGAGAGAGACGACAGACAGACAGAGGAGAGGCAGAGGCAGAGAGAGAGAGAGAGAGGACAGACAGACAGAGGAGAGAGAGAGAGAGAGAGAGAGAGAGAGAGAGAGAGAGAGAGAGGAGGAATCCTGCAGATCTGTAAAAAGGGCTTACGGTCATTACTCATTTCAAAGATTCCCACTAAATTTCCTGAGTGAAGAAATTGAAATGTGACTCACCTCTATAGCTTTCTTGGGTTTTATGGTTTAGTTCTGTACTCTGGGCAGGAACCGTGTTGCACAACCCTGAATGGTTGCTACTGAGGCTGACACCATCTTCCTAGACAAAGACAGCACAGACACAGATTACCCTTCACCCTGGAATGAGGTCAGCAATCTCCAATTAACCTGGGAAATTTTTGCCATTGTGCTGATTGCAATCCTACAGCAGAAATCACATATGCCATGTTGGAACTCAGTGAGCAAGTGGAGGGGCTTGCTGAGGGACTCTACTCCTCGGGAGTCACCACCCACACTTTCTGCAGGAGCTGCCCTCCCAGCAGAAGCAAGATGGGCACTCTTGTTGCTGATATTTGGGAAGGAAGAGAAAACTGGGAGTGTGCGAAGCACAGTATGAAGAATGGAACAGGGCATGAGAACGTGTAAGAACCAAGCAGAGGGACCTGCCCTCTTCCAGGCGTCTCACGGGGCCTAGAGTGTCGACTGGACCAAAACCAGGGAGGGAGGGAGGGAAGGAAGGAAGGAAGGAAGGAAGGGTGCTTCTTTGGCTTTGGACTGGTACTTGCCAATCCTGCTGCCTGCCCCCCGCCTGGCTTGCTTAGGTCTGAGGCCTAGCAGGCCGCCTGCTTGCCAGGATGAAAACGCTGAGAGGATGGGGGTGGTAGTGTTGCCATTCCATTGGCTCTTTTTCACTGGCTCCTCTGATGATCAAGACATCAGGTTTTACCAGTAGTTTTTATATAAGCACTACCTCCCCCAGATAAGCATTTATTTTATGAAGTCACACTTTCCAAAACTTAGATAAAAGCTAAAATGAAGCATAATTTAACACTGGCATTAGACCATAGAGACCAGGCTAAAGATACATTATGCTTTAAATAGTTTTAAAGAGCAATAAACTACATGTCTGAAACAGTATTAGGCTTGCAGCTTATGCCCTCTGCTGACCCTTGCCCCCATCTTTAACTTGATGACTAGGCAGTTTCACCTATACAAATCTGCAACCAGCTAGTTCCAGCTTGCCCCAAGATTCCTTCAAAAGAAAGAAAATGTATTCAGGGTTGAGCACAAAGACTCAGAATATCTGCAGGGAAATGGACTTCAGAAAGAAAATATACCAAAAATCATCCAGCTGATTAGAATAGACCTTGTTCTGTATGCGAATCTGATCTGTGAATTCTGCCCTTCCCCTCAAGGAAAGCTTTCAACATCTGTGCATGTGATGCATTAAGTTGTCTGCTTCATCACAGTTTTTTTCTATAGTAAAATAAATGAATAAACCATTGCTTAACACAATTAATATGAATGGAATTTTGTTGTACAAAATGACTGCTGTATTCTATCCCTTTCAGTAATCAAACAGCTGCTAATGGATTGAGGAGTTGGAATCCTGCCTTCATTATAAAATGCCCAGCTGCTATGGGGTTGCAGGTATGCAGTTTCCCATAGGGAGTACCAGTGCCCAGAGACCCCTTGGCTTGGGTGCTTGGAAAGGTGAGCTATAAATAAATAAATAAATAAATAAAGATACACCTGGTCTGTGGTCTGTTCACTCGGCCAACCATTTCAGATCTGCTCTTCTCTACACTTATTCTTGTCAACTCCCCCCCCCCTCCATGTCTTGATCAATTTGGCACCTGAATAATGACTCTTACTGATCAGCCTCAGACATTCATGCACCAGTTTGGAAAAGAGTGGGTCTGCCTAATAAGGAAAGATCAGAAGCTCACCATCAAGGCTTGTCTACTGGCTATGACGAGGCTGGATGTGCCGTAAGTGGCACTCAAAGTGCTAACGGGCCCATTGTGGGATAGCCGCAATAAGCCCTCCATCTCTCCGTGGGCCCCTGCCAGGCTCGTTGAAGGCCCCACAGCATGGTTTCTCAGCACGTGGATGGCGTCATCGAGTCTGTCCAGGCGATCTTCCATCCGGGACTGCTGTTGGGATTGAGGGGTGCAGGAAGGTCATTTATGGCACAGAGCGGTTTATTCCATTCTATTCTCAAGCATTCTACAATGGGAAATGGGAAAGGCAGCCAGGGAAATGTGGTGGTATCAAAAGGATTTCGAAAACAGCCAGAAATGAACCAGCAACTATGTGAGAGGGTAACACTTCTGGCTTCAAAACAAAAGAGAGATGAACTACAAAACTAATCTTGTTTGGTGTTCTGGAATAAACTTAAAAGAAAGAAGAGAGGGGAGGGGGGTTTGAGATAGAGCAGTTTGCTTTCAGGTTTGAGCTCTCGAATCACATTTTCTTGATTTCATGCCAGCATTTATCTTGGCATATATTTATTGATTGTTCAAATAAAGTATGCAAAAGAGCATTCACATTTATAGCCTTTCTACAAGTTGAAAAGACAAACTGGTGGAAGGAAGAGATGCATCAGCTGTGCCATAGTAAATGGGGTGGGCTGTTACTTGTAAAAATCTGTTAAGTAGAGTTAACAAAAAAAACCCAAAACCCTCCAAAAGGCACCCTCTAAACAGAAATAGTACCTCACAGACATCCTTTAAGAAGGACATAGCATCTTGCAAATGCTCATGAAGTTGTTGCTCAACTCGATTTTTCTGGCAAAGTCAAGACAGAACAAGAAGCAAAGCACAAGTTAAGTAACGATAAAGAGGTGAGGTAAATAGCTGGTATGCAGGTCGGCCTCAGTTGTTAGTTAAGTTAATTTCACAAAGGTTTAATTAAACTCAAAAATAAGGGGATAAAATGCTGTGCACTAAAGCAATCTCTATAGATTGCTTTTGTACATTCGCGATGGATGGCAGTAGGCAAATTACTGTATTTGTTAGCTGCATGAGAAAAATGTTACCTTGGGAGATCTTAAAGATGCAAAATGCTTCATCAATAGGTACACATTATTTTTCTCTTCTGCTTCTAGACGGGATTGACAGCTTTCTACAGTAATTCCTATCACCATCTCTCCTCCACAGATGCACACCAAATATTTAGTGGAAATCCGGGAAGCAGACCACTCTTTCCTCCCCCCCCCATGCCCCTTCCACAGCTAAGTCCGCAGAACCCCAAGGCAGCGATCGGGAGCAACCGGAGATTCATCCCCCTAAACTCCTTTCATGCTGATGGTCACATGACTGGATACCATGCATCCCCTTCACTCCATACACACAGTGGGTTCTCTTTATCCTTAATTTTTCTGTGCTGAAGAGCCCCACACGATGCCTCCTTTCTTGAGTTACACCAATTGCCTTTTGGCATATTTTCAAATTCTGCAATATCCTTTGAGACCGACGGTCCTTGAACAAAAGAGATGCTGATGTAGTAATGTAAATGGCAAGCAGAATTATACTATTTTCAACTCAATGCAGGAAGCTCCCAAAGATAAAACTCATTTTGATGTTGCAGTTTTCATTATTGCTAAATTAATGATTTTAATGAACTGTAAGTTTTCCTGAGAAAATAGTTTTGAAAGCAACCTACACAAAAACAAGTATCTTGGTTCTGTTAGAGGAAATGAATGTTTAAATAAGATTTGTTTCAATAAAGCCAGCAAGCCATTTCTTGGCCAGAGTTGCTCAGCAATTCTTACCAATGAATGTAAAGAATTTTCATAGCTTGGAAGTGAAGGGGCTTGTCCTCCAGTTCTTGACCACTGACCAGCATCTGTCAAAATCAACATTGCTGAAGCATGGCACATGCAGGATAAACACATCTTACTGCTGCCAACATCTTCTGATTTATAAAGAGCTTTCTATTATTTTTATATGCAGTTTGGATTGTGTTTCTTTGTGGAACCCACTAAGGACCAAGCACAGAATACTGACTGACAACTGGAAGTGGGGGGGTAGAGATAACCTTCCCAGAAAAGTAATGACTGGTTCCCAGTATGCTGAATAAGAGCACCTTACATAACAAATTTTGGACAAAGGGGCATTCATAGGTTCTCTGCACATGCTCAGCAGCTCTTTGAGGTATACTGGAGAACAGAGATCCAACAAAACAGCACAACTGCCAGAGCACATCTCTATGCTAGAAAACCAGTTCTTACAAAATTTTGAAAAAGGAAGTGGAGGTAGGGGGAGGAGGAGATGGATAGTACTTGTGAGAGATGATGGTGATCCAACAAGTGTTGAAGGATTTGAAGTAAAGCTACTGCTAGTGTGGTCAGGAGAATAAATCTGAAAAAAAAAAGAAATGTCACAATATAAATGTAACCGACGTTAAAAAAAATCAGCTGAACAACAATTGAAGAAAAGGAAATGCTTAGAAATATTCAGCTTGGTAACTCTGAAAATTTTATTAATGTATCTGTAATTGACCTGATAGGGCAAGCCAGTAGAATATAAAATGAGAGCAAACCCATTTGGATAATGAGACTGATGTTACCTAGTTAGATAATGAAACCCCTGCAAGAAAACAACCAAGCTCAGAGAGCACCAAGGACCCCATAGTTCAACCCTGAGGGACAAATATTCCATTCTATCAATAACTGTAATTCTCTGTGATTCTCTCCCCAATGCAGTTCCTATTGTTCTTATATAATCGTTCTCAATGCTACTGTTTACCTTAAATGCACACCTGACTAGGAACAAAATATGAGAAATTTGAACACCACCAGGATAAATCTGTGCATCCATTCACCTAACAAAGGCAAAGTTACCAAGCCTGCAGCTGTAGGCTCTGACCTGTTAATGTTAACGTAGGGACTTAAAATGCCCATGTCATCCTGTTGGGATCCCCGGCCTCAAGCAACAAAGCCATTCAAGGATCACTTGGAAAAGTCAACTTCCCAATGTTTCCCTCTCTTCTGTTTAGAATGAAACCAACTCCTCCTTTGTGGAGGAAGCCCACCCCAGGAGGAAGCTTTGGTGAGGAAACTTTAGGGCAAAGCTGTTTCAGGCAAGGTAGTGCATCACTCAACCATCGTCTTTGCCATGCAGTTAATTACAGAATTTATTTCTCAAGGTGAATTTATTTCTTAACCTCTGGACAATAAACAGCTTTTCTGGGTGCTACACTACTACATTTTACCAGCTGCCCCCAGTTGTAGATCTAAAGTGGAATATTTCAAGGGTCATGGCTTAAAATATAAATGGCATTAAAGAAACAACCCTGAATAGGAGAGCTCCCCAGACAGTCTTTGGAAATATATAGCACATAATTATTTAATCAATTTGTCTTTTGCTTTGGGTCTTGCATCTTGTTTTCTGTTGCTCTGTGTATGCATTCTCCTCTGTCCGCACGCACCTCTGCCTATCGGGGGAAGAAGACAGCCCAACTGCTCCATAATCTTAACTAGCAACCTTTCTCTTCCAAGAAAACAAGTTTTGCTGCCATGCTTGCATATAATGTGCCTGACTGGAGCTTTAGGTGTGAATGAACTTTAGAACATCAATCACAAATCCAAGTAAATGCCACTCTCAAATCCAAGCCACACTGGGGTTGCCTGACCACAGACACCTCTAGATGCATTCTGCATTTGCTCACTGACATCTACTTGAGGCAATCCGAAGGGCAAGAATTTGTATATGGAGTTTGGATCCTTCCTAGGATTGCTCCACATACAATTACTTACTGAGGCCAAAGCTTTTCCAAGGGCGTCCCCAGTCTGTGAACTTCCACCAGTATTCCCTCTATGAACTGTAAAGAAAAAGGCAACACAATACTGATGTGGTGCAGATGGTGAGAACACCAGGCAGTATTTAAGAGAGCAAAATGGGGGAAAGAGGAAGAGAGCGATCAAGAAGGAAAACTGGGAATTACCTCTGCCCTGCTGTTCTCAAAGGGGCCTTCATTCTGGGGAAAGCGCATCCTCTCAATTACAGGCAAAGTTGATTTGCAAAGATGCTAAGGGAAGGGGTTTCCTTCAAGAGTGCTGGAAAGCAAACTTTCCCAACCTACAGTCAACCGCAGAGCCCCAAAGCATCACTGAATCGGTTTATATAGAATTATATTTCTCCCGTCACATGGATTTCCAGAACTTGGGGAAAGGAGAGGCAATAACCTCCAGTGTGCTCATCTGTTCTAACCCATTTTGAGCCGGGCCGTGGATCATTCTCTACTTTAGGGACCTAGGTAAATCCCTATCCCAGTCTTATTATGATCAAGAATTAAAACACAAATCCAAACATTTTTTCCCCCTCGGTGCTACAAATATTTGGCATTTAAAATACAATGTGTCTCTATGATAGGTCTTACTCATACTCATCTGCAATCTTTTCAAAGGCAGCATTATCAGGCTTTAAAAATGTATGTCAATGTGCCAAGGCCTTATAGCCAATTTACTGCAATCCCCAATCAATGCAGGAGACCTCAATCTAAAACATCCTGAATTTCCATGACAGAGTAACTAAAAGGACTACATGCTATGAGGAATGGACTTTGATGTCCTTTAGAGAAGTCTTACCCCTGGCCTGGAAGGGGTAAGACCTTGAGGCGTTCTCCCTCTGAGCCACCTGGCAAAGGCAGAAGCAGAAACTCTGACCTCGGTGAGGATATCAACCTTGCAGTTTCTCTGTGAATCTTAGTTCTGCCTATAAAGAAGCCAAGGGCCCTTCAAACGCCCAAGTTCTGCTGTACCCTTCAGGTTAGGGAGATTAGAAGATTGGTAGTGGCATGTCCAAAATCTATGGAAAACAGAAGTAACTTTAGGTATGAATGCCAGATCTGGCTGCAGCATTTAATCTTTATGAAAGAGAAGGTCGATTAACTTAGGCAAATTCAGCACCCCAGGTATGGGCTTCCTAATGAATGGCCACTGTGGGAGGAGAATGCTAGGCTAGATAGATGTAAGGAACCACTTCAATCCACATCTTAAGAAAGCAGAACTCTTGGAAACGATCTCTTCCAACAGGAACTTTTATTAAGAGAAATTGATAGCAGGCATGATAGACAGGATCTGAGGGATTCCCTTACAAATCGATGTTTTAAAGTGTCGCTAAGCAGCCCCCACCCTACAGTTCTTCCAGGTGATTCAGACCGGCAAATTTCTAGGTGTTAAATCCAGGAAAGATAACATCAATCCAGCTCCGTTGTGCATGATCATTCAACAGCTCCTCACACCTCATTTTGATGATGGGGAAATAAACCAGATGCCGGAGGTCTGTATCTTTTCACCCCCCTTTTCCTAGCTGCCAGGTAAGGAGGAGAAGTTCAGAGGGGCATAGGATAAGAGGCAAATTGTTACATTGTAATGGTTAGCAGACCCGAAGGCGAATAAACAAAAGGTTACTTTGTAGTGAATAGAGGAAGTGAGAGTAATAAAACCCGCATGCATATCCCCCCTTCCCCTTGGGAGTATGGCAAGATCCAGGGAGGGGTAAGAATTGGTTTTAGATCAGAGTAGATAGATAGAAAGGAAATATAATTGGATTCTGACATCCTGCCCCCCTTAAAAATAAGAGAGATCCACCTGTAGAGAAAACAAAACAGGTATAAAAGTTAGTCTGGCTTGTTGGGGTACTCTGTATGAAACATCTTTAACAGTTTCGGGGCTCTGACATGACGTTTATGTAGCCACTCGTTTTGTGAGGAGGGGAGGGATTTCCATGCTACTAGGTACTGAGTTGTCCCATGATATCTCCTAGAGTCTAGGATTTCCTTTATCTCGAAGTGTTGTTCTCCTTCCATCATGATTGGAGGTGGTGGTGGTGGGGAATTTTTGGCCGTAAGGTTGATTATTGTTCTCTTTTCAGCAAACTGCAGTGAAAAATTGGGTGTATTTGCCTGAGATTTTTGGGTAATTCTAATTCTACTGTTACCGGGTTTATGATTCTTTTAATTGGAAAATGTACTATATATTTTGGTCCAAGTTTTTTACAGGGTTGTAGGGATTTTAGGTATTTTGTAGACAAATATACCATTTCTCCTACAATGAATGGTGTGGGTTCAATTCTTTTTTTATCTGCTTGTGCTTTGTATGCTTGCCTAGCTTCGTCTAAGGCTTTTCTAACTATTGGCCAGGTGTTTTGTAATTGTTCCATCCATTCTTTCAGTGATGGGATTGCTGATTCGTTTGGGATTAATTCTGGCATGGGGTTGAAACTTTGACCGGTGGCTATTTGAAAAGGGGTGTAGCCTGTGCTGGAGTGGACTGCGTTATTGTAGGCAACTTCTGCAAAAGGGAGTAGGTCCGTCCAATTCGTTTGCTGTAAATTAATAAAGCATCTTAAGTATTGCTGAAGTACTGAGTTTGAGCGTTCTGATTGACCGTTCTCTTGACGATGATGACTAGATGACAGTCCATGAGTGGTTCCTAAGTGGGATAAAAATTCCTTCCAAAAAGCTGATGTAAATTGCACTCCCCTATCAGATATGATGCATTGGGGTGCCCCATGCAATCTGTAAATGTGCTGCATGAAAAGTTTCACTAGGTTTTTGCGGTGGGAATCTTTTGGCAAGGGATAAAGTGTACCTGTTTGGAAAACAAGTCCGTGACCGTCCAGATGTCAGTGTTTCCATTGCTTTCTGGTAATTCCACTATAAAATCCATGGCTATTTCCCTCCAGGTGGCTGAGGGATTCGCCACTGGTTGTAACAGTCCGGGTGATTTCTCTTGTAATCTCTTAGCAGTTGTGCACGTTGGGCAGCTGGCCACGTAACTTTCTATGTCCTTTTTCATGGATGGCCACCAAAATTGCCTTTTAATTAAGTGTAATGTTTTTACAAATCCAAAATGCCCTGCTGATTTTGTGTCATGGCAAAGCTGCATGAATGTGACCCTCTGGGTGGTTGATATATATATATATTCCCCTACCCAAGGCAGTCCATCCTTGATTGTGCACACGTGTCTATTTTTCTGGAACCATTCATCTGTTTCCAAAGTTTTCCGGAATTCGATTCCGGTTTGGCTATCCAGCTGCGGTTTTAATTTAGCTTGGGCTCTGGTGGTTACTGGTGCTGCCAGTTGTAGTTCTGCCATAAGTGGTTTAGAATCGTTGGCTTGCGTGCTGTTATATTGGGGCATGCGAGACAGTGCATCTGCCAAGAAGTTCTCCTCCCCCCGGCAAGTGCTTGAGCGTAAAGTGGAATTGGTGAAAATGCTGGGACCAGCGGGCTTGCTTGGGGTTGAGCTTCCTGGGTGTTTTCAAGGCTTCCAGGTTTTTGTGGTCTGTCCACACCTGAAAAGGGATTTTATTCCCTTCAAGGAATTGGCGCCACCTAAGTAATGACCAACGTATCCCGTATGCCTCTTTCTCCCACGTGGGCCAGCGCTGTTCCGTTTCGGTGAGTTTCCTGGATGTATACGCGCATGGTTGCAATACCCCTTCATCATTTTCTTGTAATAGTACAGCCCCCACGGCCACATCACTTGCATCTGCCTGTATTACGAAGGGCTTATCCATGTCTGGATGCCTCAGTACGGGTTCGGCAGAAAAGAGTCTCTTTAATCTCTCAAACGCCGCTTGGCATTCCATTGTCCATTTTAGTGGCTGGCTAGGTTTCACTGAGGATTCTCCCTTCGTTTTTAGTAAGTTCGTGAGGGGCAGGGCTATCTGGGCAAATGAGGGAATGAATTGGCGGTAAAAGTGTGCAAAACCCAGGAAACTTTGCAGCTGCTTCCTTGTGCTTCTCTGACCTTCTCTGGGTCCATTTCAATGCCCTGTGGGGATATGCGATAACCCAGGTAGTCTATTCTTTCCTGGTGGAATTTGCATTTCGATAATTTGGCATACAGGTGGGCAGCTCGCAGTTTCGTTAAAACCGCTCTGACTAGGTTGACATGTTCCTCTTTGGATGATAATAATAGTAATAATAGTAATAATAGTAATAATAGTAATAATAGTAATAATAATAATAATAATAATAGGACCCCCAGTGATATGGTTGTGGGGCTTGTGTACTCTGAGGAAGATGAGAGCTATGCCAGAAGTTCAACCATACTGGACAGGTCTCATCAGAGGAGTCAGACAAAGAGTGTCTCTCCCATAAAAAATATGGTGAGACGTAAATTTCAGAATGCCATACCGGCTCGGATGTCGCCCAGGTTAACAAGGTCCGTGCTAGATATTGAAGTTCCTGGATATCTGGGTTACAGGACTCAGGACTGTTGGCTGAGCAACCAGGGCCAGCAGCTGCAGAACTACTGGAAGAAAAGGTGTTTACCCATCGCAGATACACAGTGATTGAAAACAAAGAAATAATGATCTGTTACTACAGATCAAGTCCAACAAGAAGAAGATATCTAAAACGAATGCACCAGTTCTGGAAAGAACTACATCCAGAATCAGAAATAACAGAACAGAGACTAGCAGATCAACGCCGATTTATAATACAAAATAAAGTATTCACAGAAACAGAATTGGACGAACTGCAAAGGTTTACCCAGGGCAAAGAAATCAAAGCCTTACCAGAAGTAATTCAGAATATAGAGGCAAACCAGGGGGAGTTGGCAGTGAAGAAATCCATCAGAGATATACAACTGTTCTCATTTGGAAACCAGGCACCTCTTCCTCAGGAAGAACAAAACCCTCTAACTAAAGAAATAAAAGAATTGAAACAAAGAATAACTGAGCATCTAGAACAGCACAAAAACAACAGAATAAGGCTGCCTGCATTGAAGCTTGTTCCAAAAAAACAGCTAACACAAGCATTAAAAGATGCAAATACTGCAATATCAAGTATAAATACCAATTCACTGC